CCTAACCCTAACCCTAACCCTTACCTTTATGTGAATCGGCTTGCTTTAAAAGCGCTTTTTAAAGCGCCCTTTTTCTTTGCACTGCTGATGATGTCACGTACGCGCTTTAATCGGGCGCGCTTTAGTGGACTGCGGTTTTGACGTGCCACGTAAAAATAACACCCTGGGCATAGCCCAGGGTTCAGACTTTGTCAAGTTATTACTCTGAACCTTTGCTAGCAATAAACCTGTGTTCTCCAACTCTCGTGGTCCTGTCTCCTGATTTTGGGAAGCGGGTTTTCCCGCCACAAGATGATTTACTTAACAACTGTGGTGAGAAAGGTCGTAAAATGGGGCAAAACTCACTAAACAAAAGTCTCACTTAACAACAGAAATTTTGGGCTCAATTGTGGTTGTAGGTTGAGGACTACCTGTATTAAAGAAAGTGCAAATAAGATGTGTTTCACTAGGATTAATCACTGGCAAAATATATTCATTGGAATAGTACATAATTTACACATACATTTCTGCAGGGGTGGGGAATCAGAAGTGGTATTCAGCAGGTTCTGACCAGTTCTGGAGAACCTGTAGTGGAAATTCTGAGTAGTTTGGGGAACTGGTAAATGCCTCCTCTGACTGGCCCAACCCCCATCTATTCTCTGCCTCACGAGTCCCAGCTAATCCGGAGGAAACAGGGATTTTGCAGTATCCTTCCCCTGGAGTGAGGTGGGAATGGGGATTTTACAATATCCTTCCCCAGCCCACTAAGTCATGCCATGCTCACCAAGTCACGGCCACAGAACCGGTAGTAAAAATTTTTTAATCCCACCACTGGGGGGAATGAATGCAGAAATAGCTCGGATAAGTAAACAGTGAAATTAAATATCCTCCTTGCTCACAACTAGATGTAAATACATCAAGAACTTTGGGACTCTTTTGTTTCATGGATTGAAATTTAAATATTTGTGCATGGATATATAACATGCTATGCTGAATCAAAGAGCCCATATATATTTTCCTTTAATGTGATACCTTGGCTCCAGTGGTGAAATTCATTTTTTTTTTACTACCGGTTCTGTGGGTGTGGCTTGGTGGGTGTGGCAGGGAAGGATATTGCAAAATCTCCACTCCCTTCCCACTCTGGGCCAGTCAGTGGCGGCATTTGCCAGTTCTCCGAAGTACTCAAAATTTCCGCTATCGCTTCTTCAGAACCTGACAGAACTTGCTGGATTTCACCCCTGCTTGGCTCTCATACCATGTAAAGACAACTGATTTCCCACAATACACTGAGCACAAAACCCCTAAAGCTTGTTTCGGCCCAGACTGTCCAATTGGGTAAGCAGATTTAAGAGCACTCACATCTAGAGCACAAGATACTGGGATCTCCATTCCTCACATCCTGGCGTCGGAATCGCCTGTTGGGAAAAAGTATGAAAAAGATTTGCCAAGCATCCTTCTGGGGTTGGACCTGAAGCCTCAGGTCTGCATAACCACCCTTCACTGATTACATCCAGGAGCCAATAGCAAATAGGATTATTGGACTCCAAGGTTACAGGGCCTAATCTCTATAGGCTGATCCTTGGCCATACCGTTTGGTATTCTGCAGGTATCGAGTGCAGGTGGTGCCATCCCAGGCACAATAGGGGTCCCTCGCCAGGCAACATTCTGCGCAAGCTTTGCCATATATCCCACAACGGTGCAAGGGCAGTTGTGAAATGGAAGTCCTGGATCCCAGGTACAGCTGTTGCTGTTGGAAGACAAAACCACCGAGTCTCTTTAGGGCCCAACCACATCTGGATGGAAAATAACCTCCTGCTTCTAATGGGTTACTGTTTTGAGAAGCAGTTCATGAGGGCTAACCTAGGCTGTCAGGCACTGCTCTAATGAATGTACTGTAACAAGTGGGAGGAAAATGGAGGATGGATACGATCAGAACCTTCTAAATAGCCAACAAGATATTTAGGAGGGATCCATAACTTGTATAGATGGGTAGGCAGCCAAACAAACAGGAAATTAAGCAAATAATTGCCATATTTTTGGGATTGTAAGACACACTGGAGTATAAGATGCACCAAGATTCTGAAGAGGTAAATTTTCAAAAAATGCACTCTGCAGACCTCCCAAACCCCCTGCACACCTCATTTTTTGTGAAAAATGGGGCATACAGATAGTTTGAGAGGCAAAGTGCTCTGGGGATAGGGTGGGGGAGGAAATGAGCAAAATACAGCCTGTTTTTTTGCGAAAACTGACTCGTTTTTTGTCCCAAAAAGGGGGATGCATAGCCTTTAGGAGGCTTGTAGAGGGGAGCTAGTGGGGGCAAAATGAGCAAAAAACGGCACATTTTTTTACTCATTTTTGCCCTCCTTAGCTCCCAGGAGCACTTTGCAGGCCTCCCAAACCCTCTGCATGTCCATTTTTGCAAAGGAGGCAGGGTTTCGGGAGGCCAAAAATGTTGTATTCAGTGTATAAGATGCACCCAGATTTTCATCCTTTTTGGGGGGGAAAGGTGCATCTTACACTCCGAAAAATATGGTATTTTTCAAACATGAACATTTTACTTAATTTGTTCATGGACATCTCAAGAAAAAGACACATGAAGGGAATACGATGTCCTGAAAGAGTTGCAAAATCATCATCATCCTGTTTATCACCATCCAAAAAATATCTTGGACAGAAGAAATGCCTAGATATAATCATCCCTATTTTGATCATCTTCTACTACCAGTTTCCCTCCCAATCTGTAATGATTTATTTAATTATTTATGAATCAATGCACTCAAAGAGCAGTTGTCCCCCTGGTTTCCATACGATCACTTCCCAAAGTTGTTGGTTTTTTCCTGTTGCACTACATACCCGCTTAGATGAGATCTGCATGCTAGTAATAGGAGAGGAATCCTGTCAAGGAGAAATGGAAATAATTAGGAGGGTGCTGAATTGCTGATTAAAAAAAGCCACTACCTTTCAGGAAGTTCTCCAGGTAACTACTAGTAAGGGGTAGAAGGAATAATGTCGAGGAACAACAGGATTGTAGTTGCAAGCAAGCAAGATAACAGTCAGACAAAAGAAACCAGAATCCAGGGCAGATTGAAAATTAAGAAAATGTCTAGACAGGACTCTCCCTAGTTCTCAGGAAATTAAATGGAGGAAGAGGGTAAGCACATCCAGACTTGCAAGAGTATGTTACTGCAACCGTATACGAAAAGTAGTAGTGCTCTGTATGTTGACTTTGGTTTCTTTGTGGGGCTATGTTGAAAGGGTGACATAGCTTTAGTTTCTCTGGTGGAGCCTTGCATTCTCAGCCCGAAGCTAGAAAAATAGAAGCACTTACAGTGGCTAGGACAGTGCCTGACTTAACCCAGTCATCCCAATATTGATACTTGTGGTTCTCGTGGCAACACATGATCACATCAACTGGTAGGGTTGTGTAATGTTTTGAATCGCAGAGGATCTCTGTCACAAGGATTTGAAGATAACACTCATCCTGACTTTTGCCAGGATTGTTTGGCTGCTCTCTACTGTTACAGGCTGGTCCTGGGAAAATAACCTTTTGGTTTAAGGAATTGCTAATATGAATATTCCCAGGCACCTTGATTATGTGCAATCAAGTGTTTTAAACTCCTAGCAACTAGATAGGGAGAGATGGAGATGGAGGTACAGGTAGAGACAGAGGCAGAGGTAGAGGTACAGCTGTGGTTGCGCAGTAGTTAGAATGCAGTACTGCAGGTACTTCTGCTGACTG